GACTACTCTTATATACTTCTTGGCCCTATAAACTAAATTTATAGACCCATCCTTGATAAGGGAATTATACAACAAGAATAGAAACAACTTCTTCTAAATCTTTGGGGCGGTTCAATGGTCAAGTCTATCCTTTTGTAAGCATGAGATTTTAAGTTTGATATTCTCACATTTTCCAAGGGTCAATCATTCTTATTCCTCAGAAAACACATTTTTAATCAAGCTCGAATTTCAATAATTGATTCAAAGTATGAGAAAGTAGTCAATATAAGCGTGGACATGAAGAAAGAAACCACTTTCGTTTTCTATATGTACCAAGAAATGGTGCACTACCTTTTAAGAGCAACCCAAATGTCATTTGATTTAAAAAACGAAGTATGGCCATTTGTAATTGGTACATCCCTAACATACCACACTCATACTGAAAGTCGTACAAATTTGAATCTTATTTAAAATATAGTGCTCCACCTACATTTTTGTTTAAAATTTAAAAACAAATGAAACGAAAAGGTGTTAATAATCATTCGGAATTCAATTTGAATCCAAACAAATAATACCCTCGTGATTAAAAAGATATTTTGAATATTTTTGAGTTGATAATGGTAAAACAAAATCCTATTTCAACTTTTACGTTTGGCAGCATTTTAAGTTTTTTTTTCGGTAAGCAGCACTTTAAGTTAATGTGTAGGATCGTACAAATCTAGCTCGAGTACTATCCGAATTCTACAAATCGGGTTAACCTAGACTATACATCTCTTACCCTGACTTAAATTTTAACTCAAATTTAAATTTGAGTAAAATTATAAAAAATTTGCTCCAATCTTGACTCAAACTTATACCAAATTAAGAGATACTCAATTTTTTACTCAAATCAAGGGAGACTCAAATTTTTAATGGTGAGAATTTACCCTCTTTTAAAAATTCAATAGTCATCTTTACTCTCTTTTAAATTTGAGTTTCTCCTTCTTTAAATTTGAGTTTATCCATTAGAGCTCTTTGTATCAAATTAAGTTTTTTACTCAAATATTAATTTAAATTTAATTAAAAATTTGAGTCACGATTAGAGATGTTTTTCCATACATAATTATTTTGTAGAGAATTGTTATAATTTTGGCCCATCCGAGTAACGCTCCTAGTTAAATTTTAGGTCCAGCCCACTCCAAAATGTGGTGGGATTGATGGGGGTATTGTTTAGGCGGTTAGGGCCATTCAGAATCGTCTCTTAATCATTTTTTTTTTTAACAAATCATCTCTTATATTTCGTTTGATACGATTAGGGATGACAATGAACTGGAAAAAAACGAGTATTCGTTCAAATTCACCCCGTTTAGATCGGGGATGGACTATATGTATTGGACAGTGAACGTATACGGAGATATCCGTATAAATCTGTGCGAGGATGGACGTACCCTTACCCCGCCCCGTCCCCGTTATACCCGTTATATATATATAAACTCTCAGTTAAAGCCCTAAGGCCCTGCCCTAACTCTCCTCTTCGGCTCTTCCTCTATCAACGTTTTTCTCTCTCTCTCACACACACACAACAGTGACACAGGCCCCTAACTTAGCTGAGCTTTTCAGCTCTTCCTCTCTCGTTGAGCTAATCGTTGCACTTAGCTCTCTCTCTCCCTCTGCTCTAGCTGATCGCTGATCGATTATAGTTCATGGGTAAGTTTTCTTTTTTGCCTTTTGTTCTCCTTGTTCTATTTCTAGTTGCCCCTGTAGAATAATCTTAAAGATTTGACATGCAGTTTTGAGACCACCAACCCATTTAGAATTAGTTTAACAAACTTAGCTCGTCTCGATGGTCCATGGAAGAGCACAAACCCACCCACTGATATTTTATTATCAATGGCAATGGAGTGCTTTGGTTTTAGTTATTGGTAAAAAAACTCCTAGATTGGTATAAAAACTAATTTCTAATAATGGTTTATAACGAAAAGGTACAAGATTTTACAAATTTTGGGAATCAATTGCCTTTCTGGAGTTGGGTGTTAAATAGGACCATGCCTCGCATACTTGGAAAAACACATCTTAGTTATGTCTGCTATGCTTTTTGAGTACTAAAATCGATAGCTCCCTGTGTAGTTGCTGCAGCCTGAGAATAAGTGCATATTTAGGCCTAGTTTTAGAAGGGTTGGAGATTTGATTGTCTTTTATGTGTTGGATAAACTGTGGCATTCATGGTGTATTATTTTGAAAATATTAATAAGCATGCTAAGTTCACACCATTTTATCTAAGAATGTCCGCATATTTGGTTCAGTTGGTTTTAATGAGTGGACTTAGCTAAAATGCTTTGTCAATATACTCCTTTGTGGATAATTTATTAATAGTATGCCTCCGCATGATTACATGAGCTTTTCTTATTGTTGTTTTTTCCTTTGCTTTCAAGTTATCCAAAACATATTAGTTGGGGTTTTACTACTGTTCCGCTCTCTCCTTTTGGGAATCAGTTGCCTTTCTGCCTAGATTTTACAACTTTTTTTTACGTTAATACTTTACTAATTTCTAATGAATTGGTAAAAAAACTCCTCTTTGTGGTTGTTACTGAAAAGGTGCAAGTCGTATAAGGCATTTTGGATTGTTAGACAGTCTCAGCATTCTTTCAAACTTGACCATCTCCAATATACATTGGGCATTTTGGCTTAAAGCTTGGGCTTGGGCTTGGGCTTGAGCTTGGGTACGGGTACGGGTACGGGAGAAGCGGGGATGGGGGCGGGGATTAGAAATTTACCCGCGGACAAGGATGGGATGAAAATTATTCCCGTTAACGGGGGTGGACTGGGGATGTACGAAGTTTTTTTAAACGGGTACGGGGATGAAGACTATACCCCCCCGCTTCGGTCCACTGACATCCTTAGATACGATAGAAAAATAGATAATAAAAAATTAAAATGATGAAAAATTAGGGGATAAATAAAAATATCATATTTGGTAAGAAAAGAAAATATGGAAGATAACAAAAAATGGATGAACGAGCTTTCCTTCCGACTCACAAAAATTAATCTCTCCAAAATTGAAAGGAAGGTGGAGGAAAAATTAATTATTTGTGTTGAAATGTATATTATTTGTCTATATATCATTTGATATTTACATATATTATCTATACATTAATGTCATATAAAAAATACAATGATAAAATATGTATTTATATTTTTTTTAAAAAATAAAAAATAAAAAAATATTTTTTCAATCTTACAAAACAAAAAAAAAGTATTAATTTTTTTAATTTTTCATCCTTCCTACCAACACACAAATGATATATATTTTTCTTCCATGAAAGATAGAAAGTGTATTTCTCATATTTTTCATTCTTCCTACCAAACGGAGCATTATTTTACAAAACCAATCATGACCCTTTTTTAATTGGGAGAATTACATTTTATACCTTAAAAGACATAAAAAATTTTATTTTATACTTTTAAATATTAAATTTTTTACATTGTACTTTTAATATATAAAAAATATTACAATCTTATCTTTTATGTTAGATTTTGTTATTTTTTTTGTCAGTGTTAATAGTGAGCTAAATAAAAGAGTCATCTATATAATAAAACACATAGCAACTTGAATTTTTATCCCCTACATTTTTTTTCCCTAAAAACACAACATCACTCATATCTATCACATGTTTAATTATTTATATATTTCAAACCTAAAAATATCAAATCACCTTATTTTAATCATATGTTTAATCATTTAATATTTGATTAATTTGTAGGTAATATAATTTTTATTTTAAATATTATTCATATATGATAGTATACACATGTTGAAAAAAATTAATATAAAAAGATCAATTTTTTAGGTGCTCGAATTTTATAATTTATCTTTAAAGATATAAAATAAGAATTCTTAAATCTTATAAGCTATAAAGTGCAATATGCCTTTTTTTAATTTGCTTCATGAAGCTGCACGGCTCTTCCACTTGATTAATGGGTGCAAATGAGAAGCGGCGGGCTGTTGGGTTCTATTGAGGGTCAGTCTCTTCTCTTTCCCATCCAAAAATGCAAACCTAACTCGCTCTCCAATTTATAAATCATGTTAGAATTGACAACCTATCGCTATGCATAACAATTTGTACTAAAAATATAAAACTAGGAAGAGAGAAACTATATTAAAAAGTGCCCAAAAAAATATATAAATTACATGAAAATGTCATGTACATATATCGCTATGCATAATATATATTTTTTTTTGTTGAAAGCTTTATTTACAAGAATATTTATCTACCACGTACAATAGTATTAGTTGAACCCTTGAGATACGACGCTATACTCCTTGAGTGTCATGGAATTGAATACTCGATTACCGAAGGTTACAAATAAAATTATTTCAACCCGTCGAACAATTAAGGGTATTTTCTACCTCTCTCAATGGTTTGAATTCCCACTCCCACGGGAGGGTGTCAGTTTACAATTCTAGTTCCGCTACTTTAATATCATAATTGAAGTTCTCAATTAGAAAATATATATATATAAAAAAAACATATTTTTCAGAATGAATCCTATTAATGAAAACTTGAATTTCAAATAACACAAGTATGATATGATTATTCTTTGTGAATATCTTATTTTTAATATGAATAATTTATCTTTGATCAAATTAAAAAAAATGATTAATCGAGATATGCGTAAAGTAGTCCGAGTTATCGCGGTGAAATTGCAAAAAATAAAAGTACAGGAATTATTTATGTACAAAAAATGTTGAAAAGGTCGAAGAGAAAGACAAGAACACAAGACAAAGAAGATCGAGACACGGAACATAACGTCGTTGCTTACGTTAGAGTGCACTCCTTCGTGTCAAGAGAAAGACAGTAGACGAAGAAGAAGACTCTGCGCTGGCACTCTCACCTCGCAGCCCCACACAAGCCTATACTCTTCTCAGCCTCCATGGCTCACAGACACAGCTCTTATAAATTGTTTCAAACGCATATACACATTGCCCCATTTAAATACAGATTCCATCAAGTAGAGGGGAGAGGAGAGAAGTGGGAGGAGAGATGGGTTGGAGAGGGATTCTGGGTTTTGAGTATGGAATAGTTCAGGCACCTCTGGGACCTGATATTTCAGGTCCAGAGCTTGTAGCTGCTGTTGCTAATGCTGGTGGACTTGGTCTCCTCAGAGCCCCAGATTGGGTTAGCTTTTTAGATTTCGTTTCTTATTATTATTTTTAATTTTGATTATGATCACTTGAAAGTTGAAACGTTACTGTAATTTTTCTGTTAGTGTTTGTTATAAATTAGGTTACTTTGATCTTTTTGTTTCATGCATACTATGTGTTTGACCTTTTGTGCTAATGACTTAAGGTCCCTTTGGCCGTCCCCCAGATTCACTCAAATGATAATCTATAAGTATTCTATTCTTGGAAGTAGTGTTTTTTGTGCACTAAGCCACTATCAATTTTAAGTGAGACTGGGTGAGGGAAGAACAGAAACAGCTAAAATTTTATAACCATTGTTCTTGATGCATGTATATTGATCTGTATCATGTTCAGAGGTTTTTTCATTACCAATAAATAATGATGATGCTTTATAATGAGGGTAAGAGAAATGGAAAAAGAATGTATGGATTACTTAATTGGAATCAGTTAGGAACTGAATTCTTTGGCAATAGTGTGATACTAGTCTTCACACTCGACATGCTACGACAAGCCAATTAAACAGTGTTAGTGATATAAGCATAACTTAAATTGGCGTAAGGTCGTTGTTTGAATTTGTTATTTAACTAATAGTTGTTCTAGCTGTCTAAAATATAAGAGAAATTTCGCAAGTGGTGGAATATTCCTAGCATTCTTGATATAACTCCCATGTTTTGAACCCTCTGTCAGTATATCATTGTTTTTAAATAAGGTGATGATTGCACTGTTATAATTTTTTTATCTCAACGTAGACACTTGAAGTCACCATCAGTCTTACTGGGTAGCTAGATATATGCTCAATCAGACATTGGCTTTCAGGTGCCCTTAGCAGAGAAGTAATGTTAATTGAGACAAAACTAATATTTGTAATTATGTCAACAAATAATGTGAACGAAGATTTTGTTGCATATCTTCTAGTTTGAAGTTAGATCTAAGGCAATGTTTGTAGACAAAAACACAGGATGTAAGCATTTAAATAATCCTACAAAAAATTCATGGAATTTCTGGACCAATGGGCCTTGTTTGATTCAACTACAAGATTAAAACTCAACCTCTAATTTGTGAAAATGTGAAATTTCCAAAACGATTCCTTGTCCATATGAAGTTACATAAAATGTACAGTTTACATGATCCAGAAACGGTTTTCACAACTGAACCCTGAATTTTATTCTGGGGGATTTTTGTTCTTCTTCATCTTCTTGGGGTTGAATCCCTACTCTTTTCCGATACATGCATTTATTTTTTGATTTAGTGCTGTCTAATTTCGTAGGTAAATGTTTTCTGATTTTATATACTCTACTTGTTTGCCAGGAGGCACCAGACCATGTGAGAAGGCTGATAAGGAATACTCGAACCTTGACTGACAAACCATTTGGGATAGGTGTTGTGCTGGCATTTCCTCACAAGGAAAATATAAAGGCTATTCTGGATGAAAAGGTCGCTGTATTACAGGTTTCCTGGGGTGAATGTCCAAAGGACCTCGTCCTTGAAGCTCAGCAAGCTGGGGTCAAGATTGTTCCCCAAGTAAGTGTTGTGGGCTCATGTCCAATAAACAGATTAACAAAATTGACAATCTTTCTGGCAAAGGGCTATCCTATCTCAGTCCTAAAGCCATAATGGGATGTGGCCAGCCATGTTTTGCTGAACTCTTGATGAAGGGCTCCCTCAAACTTGTGTTCCTTCCAATAATTTGAAGTCCTTGCATTATAAGTCTTCCATTCATATTAAGCATTGGTATCTAGAATTCACCTTGCCATTATTCCAACTCATATGGGACGATTGGATTATTTGATCTGGAGATAACAAGTATGCAATTGTGGCAACCCCCTGATAATATATGTTGTCTGTAATCGTATGAGTTGAACAGTGGATGATAAGACCTTGGATTGTTCTGTAGCCTTCTGATTTTTCTTCCTTTGTATCTAATTAGTCATATGCATTACATTTGAAGGTTGGGAGCTTTGAAGAAGCAAGAAAAGCTGCTGACGCAGGTGTAGATGCAATAATTGTCCAAGGACGTGAAGCAGGAGGGCACGTTATTGGTCAGGTACAATTGCTGTTCTGTTTGTGAGTTCTATATCATTTCATACATCTTTAAGAATGTAATAGCTCTTTTCTTCCAAAACTTGCAATTAAATGATACAAGTTCTGTCATTGTCAACAAGGACTCCAGAAGTTGAGTCGTAGCAACTGTAGTTCCGGAACAACAATCCAATACCTTTTACCCATGCATTTTCTATATTTACAAAACCAGCCCTCATTGAGGAACTGAATTTTCGCGAATATGAGACAGTTTGATACTTCTCCTGGTGGGGTGTCATTAAAGCATATGAGAGTTGTAAAATCAACTGTCACTGCTGCCTAAATGGAATGTCAAATAACGATGCTAATGGCTGCTATTAAGTATTCTCAAAAGAGCAAGTGCTGTATCTACTTTTGAGAAGTTACCTACATGTTCTTATTTCCACAGATTATGTGCAGGATGGATTGATTTCATTGTTGCCAAGAGTAGTTGATCTTGTTGGTGGGAGAATACCCGTAATTGCTGCTGGAGGAATTGTGGATGAGCGTGGTTGCGTTGCTGCCTTGGCCCTTGGAGCACAGGGTGTCTGCCTAGGCACAAGGTTTGACACCATTTCTTTGGAAAATTACTAAGCATATCTTTTCAGCATTCTGCCATTTGCATGTTTGCATCCGTGACATAGATGGTAGGCTCGAGATTCCCTTTTGACAAGGTTTTTTTTCCACCTTTAAATGCCAGACAACAATGAACTGATCTCATCTTGTTATGCAAAAATTCCAATTATTTTTGCGTGGGTAGTTTCATTTTTGGAACCGCCTCTCTGTGTTTCGGGCTGTTCCTTTGTAGATGCTTGGTCTCTTGACACTTTTTTTTTTGGAGAAAGGAGGAGGATTGTTTCTAAAGCTTTTCATCAAGATGAAGCTAAGTCTGGGTGCTCAACTGTAAATTTATAATCAGTTTCCTGAGTAAAGTTTATTGGGAAGTATAAACTGTAATCTTCTGGAAAATGATGGTAGTTCCAACTTTGTCAGCTTTGATTTCTGCTTTGAACATAATGCAAAATCCAAAACCAAGACATGAAGAAATTCATTTCCACTTTCTTTTTATGGTTCTCATCATTTCTTTCTATGTTCTAATCATCAGAAAACATATAGCAGAAATGTTTTTCAAAATTTGGTTATATAATTCAAAGCAGCATATGATTTTTAGCTTCATTAGAAATGGAATCTGCAAGCGTGCTCCTGATCTCGATTAATTCTGTCAAATTTTTTAATGCTTCAATTAACATGCATCATGTAGGTTTCTTGCAACAAGGGAAAGCTATGCTCACCCAACATACAAGCTGAAGTTGGTTGAACACGACAAAACCGAGTATACAGATGTATTTGGCCGTGCAAGGTGGCCTGGTGCACCACAGCGTGTCCTGAAAACACCTTTCTTCATGGACTGGAGAACTCTTCCGAGTCATGAAAATGAGGCCAATCAACCAGTCATTGGTCGTTCAACCATACATTGCATGGTAAAAATTCTCTCTTCATACCTAGTAATGCTGAACTTGTCCTTCTGTTGTTTTCTGTTTCTTTCTATCAATATTTGGGATGATGTCATTGCATAATGGAACATCTTAAGGATCAAATCACACCTTTTAAATATGTTGATAGATAGCTCAGTTGGTAGAGCTCCTCTCTCGAAATGGGGTCGTTGCGATTGCGGGTTGGATGTCTAATTGTTCAGGCAGTAATGATAGTATCTTTTAGCTGAACTGTGACTCACTTTTTCCAAGTAGTGGGGAAGAGGACCGAAACAGATTTTTGTTTACTAGATTGAGGAGATAACGGGCGAAGGGTATTCATGAATACGAATGATTTCATCCAATGAAAATCTAATGAATGAATTGTGATTGATTTCATTTTTCTCTCTAACAGGAAAAAGAGATTCGTCGTTTTGCTGGTACTGTTCCAATGTGACGACAACTGGTGATATTGAAAGCATGGCGATGTATGCCGGTGAAGGCGTGGGCCTCATTAAAGAAATTCTACCTGCAGGTGAAGTGGTAAAGAGGCTTGTTGAAGGGACTCAACTTCTGATCCAACAACAATTTCATGGAGAGAAATTGTAAGCGGAGGCCCTCTGGAGAGCTAATGGCTAAAAGGGACTTTCAAATTGTTGTCTGTTTTTTGCAATAATTCGGATAATGGTTCACATTGGAGAGAGATTATGCAACACTGAAAATATGCAGTGTTTGCTAAAGCTCATCCAAATTGTGCTATGTATTTCTCTCTCACACAGGGTGTGATGTGTGTGTGTGTTTGTGTTTGTGTTTTTGGCTTTGCTAATTGAATAAATTGTGTAATGATCATTCACAATTCTGGCTAGGGAATTCAAAATTTATTTTTTGGTACCACACCTACTATTTTTCATCAATCAAAAAGATAACATCCACAAAGTTTCTATTTTTTCTCATGTTGCTTAACTTTATTTCGTTCAAGTTCAATTGTCACAAATAAATTAATACAAAATTAGTGACTCGAATCCATTTTTGGGTACTATAGTCATATCCATAAATGTATAGAGATTACCACTTGAGCTAGTGGTCAAGTAATAAGTCATACCCGTATAAAGATGTGATTAACTCTTATATGATTATCAAGTAGGGTTTGATTTACGAGAGTAACACGATTTATTATTTTGTCTTTGGTGGTGATGTGGTGACGAATTATCTTTTTGAGTTAATAGTTATGACTCAAATCAAACATTTTACAATAAGGAACCTTGAATTATGCTCGGGCGTTCTATAACAGCACTATTACTAATTTGATACAAGTTGGTTCAGCAATCGAACACAAAAGATAAATTATAAAAATTTATATTGTTCGTTTGTACTACGGATTGTGAATTCAATAGTATCATATTTCAAAAAATTTCTCCCATTTTCTGATTTCTCTGTAGATTCAAAATGTTCCTCTGATTCGATTCATAGAAAATCGTTGCATTTTTTATTCCGCTATGTCAGCTTTTTTCCCTTATGGGTCATAAGTCTATTGTGATTAGAAGAATGTCCTTGCCATTTTATCAGAAAATTACAACAAATGACGATGACGACAACAATGACGATGCAGTTTAAGGGAATGCATAATTAATTAGCTGATTAAACAAATAATAGTAATCAATCTGTCGAAGAAGTTTTCAGACAAGGGTTTCATAAAAAAATTTGTAAACATTGAACATTAATTATAATGATTCCGTATTTGATAAAACATTGTCGATCTCTTAACATACAAAGACATAAAGAAGTAGAATTATATATGCTCGAAAAGATTAGACGGCTGCTCGAAGGAGCACCAAGTGTATTAGGTCCTTGCCATTTGATCAAAAAAATTAGAACAATCGATAATGATGACGACGGCGACGATAAAGACCCGTTTAAGTGAATGCATCATTTAATTTAGCTGATTAGACAAATAATAGTAATTAATTTGTCGAAGAAGTTGAGATGGAAGAGTTTGATAAAAACTTGTCAATCTCTGAATATACAATGATTCCGTATTTGATCAAACATTGTCGATCTCTAAACATATAATGATATAAAATAAAAAAGAACTGTATATGTTTGAAAATGATATATATATATAAAAAAATGTATATATTTGAAAAGATTAGACTGTTCGAAGAAACTTAAATATTTTAGTAAGTTAAGAAAAAAAGAAGGTGACAGCCCATTTCATTGGACCACTTTAGAATATCTAATGCAGTATCGCCAAAAGTCATAGTTTGAAAAAAAAAAAATCCAATAATTTATTTATATTGGGAGTGTTAGTGTAGTGTTATCGAAAAAAAGAGGTCGTCTAATAAAATGTTTAAATTTGTGTCGATTATTTATTTGAGCTCAATAATATATCACTTGACTTGAGCTAAGTTAGAATACATTCCTAAAGAATAAGAGTGACTAGTCGTTAGGGAGTTCAAGAAGGGATTAAAACGAGAGACTACTGAGTTACTAAATGTGAAATTCAACCACTCAATTATTTCTAAGAGTTTTCGTTTAAGTTTGTTGATAACCACTATTACAAAGCTGACATTTTTGTCAACCTTAGAACAGTAACTTGACAGTGGATTGATTCAATCTTTTGAGATGAGCTTCACAGCTAAGGCCACCAAAACTTGTCGTATGATGTGCAGAATTTATACTAAATTATTTACGTTCATCCCATCTTGACATCTCTTGCTACACCTTTACTCGAACTAGGTCATCTTCATCCCACCCAATATTATAGGAAATTATCAATTTAACGGATTATATAAACCTTTGTTTAAATAAAAATTCACAAGGAAATACATGCAACTCAACATCATACTGCAGTCGGGGTTGTATAATGTTGAGATGGGTATATTAGAAAGATAAGAAGTGATAAAGATATTGTAAGGGGTAAAACCCTCTACTAAGGATTTCGGCGTGACCTGGGTTAACTCATGCGGGCGATCCCCCAGTAGCCTTTACCTCTCAGTGCCCGCAAGAACTTCGTCCCACATCGACTGAGAGTCGTCTCCCCCCCTCGCATATAATCACTTGCACTCAAAGGAGGAGGTACCCACCTCCATAGGAAGTGTTCACTTATATGACAGGGGGAAGACGACTCTCTTCCGATGTGGGAATTGCCTTAGGAAAGGGTCCTATGGCGAATAGAGGTAAAGACTACTGGGGCTCGGTGCCGCCAGGTCAGCCGGAATCCTTCAAGTGGAGGGATGAGATCCGTAGCGATTTCTACCCCTTACAGATATTAGGATCCACCATCTCAATACATTTAGTTCGGAGCTCAACCACGTGACTTGCATAGCTCCATAGGATCGATTACAAGCCAAAAAGAGGAAGCGCTCTCTCTCTCTCTCCCCCCGAGTTGTGGGGCATGTAGATTCCAAAATTTCAAAAATCATAAAAGCAAATAAGGAAACTTAGACCCCTTATAAGGACACAAAATGAATCTAATAGGATGACATTGAATACAAACTCTAGTCACATGTGGCCTTCCGTACCAGTCCTGTGGTCGAAGGGTAATTAGATTTCAAACCCTACTACTTATATAATAATTTTGATTCGAATCTCTATAGAGAGAAGATCAATTATCTCCCTTAAATAATTAGAGATCTCGAGGGGGCGAGAAGAGAAGGGGGGGGGGGGGGGGGGGGATGTTACCTCAAGAATTTATTGGATATTCATTGAACATATCCATTTATGAGGATCAACTCTCTCTCTTTTCCTAGGTCTTGGGTTATTATTCTATTATGACTTGAAATCGCAAAATATAATCTCTTGTACGAGACTCTATGGCAACGATGGGGAACATTTAACTTTTTCAATTAACTCTAGAGTTTGATAATGATATTAACAAAATTTTTTTAGTACTATATTTTGTATTTTTCGGTCAATAAAAATATATTACGTCCACAAACTTTTCAATATGTTGTAATACTTAATATTTTATCATTTTTTTAAAAAAATTAATGATTACAAATCATCCGACTTAAAATCAATAATTGTACCGTAATCTCACGGCCAAGACTACTAATTTGACATGAAATATCCCATTAATTGGTGGGACAAAGAGACATTTTTGTACGCTCTCTTGAGGGAGTAAATAGTAATTTTTGATATCAATTATGAGAAATTTATCTCTTATAAATTTTTTAGTTTTAAGGTGAATAACTTACTTTTAACAGAACTGAGAAAGAGATAAATCTAGGTATGCATCCTAACCGTAGAACCAAAAAAAAATAATTAATATTGGCTATAAAAAAGCAACACATCACCGTTATCACGTGTGTCACTGTCAAAAAAACAAACTTATAAATGAACAAAGTAAAATCCATTTTTTTTTATAAATAGTAATTATTTTTTTACGTGGACATTATAGTTATTAAATTAAATAGGTTATTCTAATTTACATATTATTTTATTATTAATGATGACAGGTGATAATAATGATATGGGTCCCAATTTCAGTCAATATTTTTTGAACAAGAACAATCAATTGGTTATTCAATCAATCAAAAGCCATAAAGAAATGGGCCAACAGGTGCCATCACCGGCTGGCAAAACATTTAAGAGCCGGCTGTGATTTGCCGTGTCACGTACGAAATAGACAACCGGTCTGGGCCACTCCAGGGT